AATGCTGTGTGTGGAGTCTGCTAGGAGAAACGTGCATCATAAACAATGTTTTTCTTTAGAAAAGCAAACACATGGCGTAATGTGGAAATAGCTAAGAGCCTGGAATAAGCTGTCAGGTTAGACACCGCCACAGACTGTCAGTCTCCAGGATTGTTTCAGTTTGACAGCTTTGGTGCAGGAGCTTTTCCTTTGCTGGCTGTGTAGGGAGAGACCGATTGCTCAGTCTGAAGGTTCGGGCTGCTGAGATGCTTCAGTGGGACACGTGTTTGTGTGGTCACTCAGGGGAGTGGCTGGGCTCTATCCAAATGCAAGATGCCTGGAGACGAAGGGGGTTCATCCCGTGTTTCTGTTTGGGCTCCAGCCCTTCATGCGGCCCTGGCCAAGAGGAAGGGGCAGGCTCGGAGAGACAGGAGGCTGTGGCCGAGGGAGAGGCCTTGCCTGGTTGCTCTCAGCAGTTGCCACTTGATTCTAAAAGCCGGAGTCCTGACCTGGGAGCCCTCTGGAGCTGACGGGAGAGGGGTGCTCCCAGGCTCAGCACAGAGCCTGGGATGGGACAACTTGTCCTTTGCTGGAGCTTGGCTTCAGAGGCAATGGGTGGCACTAGTTCCTGTGTCAAATTCAGCAGAATCGTGCTTATGATGAGAAAACTGGATGTAGCGAGTCCCGTTTTGAAGGAAATGGTTCCTGATGGGACAGCTTCTCTCTCCGCTCCTGCACGGCAGTGTGGGATTGCTGGAGAGCAGCGCCCTCTTCCCTCCTTTGCTCACAGGCCTGCGGTGGTGGACAAGAAGGGAGACCTGGCCACGCTCAACGAGGTGGGCTACCAGCTCCGCATCTAACAAAGCCATACGCCGGACAGAGGGCTTCTCTGGTGCTTCCCGCTGCACTTTACCTGCACTCCATTGGAAGGAAAAAGGAATGGGACTATTTATTGACTTGTGGACTCTTCTAATAACAAGTTTTACCTAGAAAACAGAATGGGGGGTGGGTTTGGGTTGGTTTTTTTTTTTTTGGTGGCAGTATTTAATTCCTTTCGATGCACAGAAAAGGCATCAGTGAAGAGAACCTGAAGTTGTTTCTCAGGATCTAAGATGGTCTTTTTTTCCCTCTATCACGTAGCAGGTGACTCCAGTGGTCTGAGACTTTCTTCCAATGTAATTTCCCTGTACAAGGGTTAATTGAATTTGGGCATTGTGCTGGGTAGTAGCATTGGGATAACTAAGGAATAATCTTAGTGTTAAGGTGTGCTGGGGTGCAGTGCAGTTTAAAAAAAAAAAATCACATTCAGCATTAATATTTAATTCAGCAATAAAAACAAGCAGTGCAGAAGTGGCGTTGAGTTTTTTAAAGTATCAACCTTACCTCACTAAACAGATATGCAAAACCGTCAGTATTCTTGTTTTGTACCCAATTTGTACTGTTTCCCAGCATTTCTCGGTAGTATGCACACAGCACCGGATGTTTCACTGCCACCTCTATTACTGTTTTGTGCATGTTGCTGAAAGGTGTTAAGTAATAATGACATGCAAGTGTATTCTTAAACACTGACATTTTATGAGGCAAAATATGAGGTTTTGGGGTTTTTTTAAAATGATGGTAATTGATGAATAATGACTTTTTAAACTTTCAGAATCTTTTTATACTTTGTCACAAGCTTTTAGTCTTGCTGGACTAGGCTGCTGAAGCACAAGACGCAGAGATTGCTGTTCCGTGGAGACAAGCGCTCACCTGCTGGTCAGTCTGTTTCTCGTGTACGTTCCTGGAATAACGGAAAAAAGGCCATATGCTTTTCCTTCAACACTTGTGTGTAACTTCATCTTTGCAAGGCTGGGCAGTCTCAGGCGGCGATGCCTTCACATCTCACGTTAAGATCGGACATCGCAGGCGGAAGTTAACCTTCTGCCATGCTGCCATAGGGAGTTTTCCCTGTGCGTATTGTAGTAACAAGGGCTTAGTCAGCCCTGAGTGAGGAGGCATGTACTGGAACAGCTCCAGCAATAAAGGAAATCGTATGTGTGAGGCAGCAGAAGGTAAGCTTGCCTGCTTCCTCCCTGCTCGGTCTTTCTGTTTGAAGATGGCTAAAGACTGGTGGCAACCGGCAGTGTTCCCAAGTGATGCCGTAAGCCTCTCGCTGCGGTCTGCCGCTCACGTTAAAGCCCTCTGGAAGCATTCCCGTGCTGCCTTCCTGCAAGTATGTCATTAGGTGCCTACATATAGAAACTGGATTATTGCACAAGTCCAGCCTCTACCCTCTGTGCTGTGCTTCTAGCTGATACTGCCACAGGCCTTGTGCTATTCCCCTCCTGGGCACGTGCTTTTTTGGGATGAAGACAGGACGTTGTGACACAGTGACAATACCACTTACTCAAACGGAACCATTTAAGGTCCTGGAACGCTTGTACCAGCCAGCAGCTGAATGAAGACAGGAGGAGACAGTTACTTGTACAGACCTCGCTGACCTTTCTGCACAATGCAGCTCCCTGACCTAGGACAGGAAGACAACACCCAGACCCAGCAGCCTCCTACAAACAGCAAAAGGCTTTCTACTAATTAGGCTTCAGAAGGTCTAAAAAGAACTTTTCAGATGCGTTATGCTGCTTTATACGAGATTACCATTGAATTACAGGGAGGCCTTTCCTATCCCTCTTTCTGCTAACTTCTCCATTCCTGTGTTCGCAGCAGGATTTTGATTGTTTTTTGTTTGGGAATGAACCTGAAGAGAGGCAAATACTCTCTTAGTAAAAATTCTTGTGTAGAGTTTCGGTTTTAAACTTTGTACTGCCCAGTGTCTTGTGACCTAAACAAGTTTTTCCATGTATCCCTTACTTTCTCATGGATAAAACGATGTGAAAAACATGCTTTGATCAGTTGTATCCTATAGCAGAAGGTTATCTGATACAAGTTTTCTTCTCCAAAACCACGGTTTACTCTAGCTCAAGTACTGGTGGCTGGTAGATAGTTTTTACTATTGTCCATCACCACTTCAGTTATTTCTTTTAACCTCTAACTTACACTGAAACTCTAATGCTGTAGAGGGCTGTGACAGACTGCTTTTGGTTCTTGGTTTGAAGTTCAGCTGAAATAGTCTCTTGAAACTTGCTCACAATGGCATTTGTCTGAAGTGTGTTCTAGTGACTGTTCTAACTTACTGCAAAGTGGTCAAGTAGTGTAGAAAACATGCATGACTCTTTTTGGGTTTCTTTAATCACTTGTATGTTTATGCACAGCATGAAACTTTAATAAAATATCATGGTAGTCTTTTTTTAATAACTTAGGGTTACTTCTTGTTCTGTCCAGGTGTCTGTTCCAGAAAATACTTGTTTCTAGAATCAAGACAGGACAAATGGGAACAAACTACAGCAGATCTTGGATTGTTCAATACCTGCCTCATTTATTATTCTGCAAACAAACAGACCATCTACTGAACATCAAGGCCTTACACTCACCCCATAGCTAACCCCTAATGAGTTGTATAAAGACAGACTGAAACCAGTCTCTCAGTGCTGAAACTACATTGCTGTACAGCAATAACCACCCTGCACTAGCAGCACTTGTCAAGCAGCTGCTGCTTTTTTATTTCAGTAGTACCCTTGGCCCAGCATATCTTACACCTTCCTGGCTTCCTGTGGTTACCAAGGTAGTGAGGTGTGTTTCTTGGAAGGCTGTTGTCTTTACCACCTTGAGAAACCTGGCCCTTTTAAAATGTCAGAGCAACACGAGACAAATATTAAAACCAGTGGTCAACAAGTCCAAAGCATTTGCTTTTCAATTAGCATGAAACTTAATAGCAGCACTGTAAATAACCAGGTGTTTGAGCTGGCCCAAGTAAGCCCTGCTCTGTGTAAAAGAGAACAGAGCTGATGTGAAACCTCTACTTTGGAGTGAGGTTTTTTTAAAAGCCTGAAGAGTGATGCTCAAGTTCCAGCTTATTCTGAATAGCAGCAGCTCTGTTACCCACCCTCCCTTGTTCTGCAGCCTCTTTGCCAGCAGCGCTGTTACAGTGGCACATTCCTGTCTGCAATGGAGATGAAAAGCAGTCCCTCCAGGCCAGCTCTTCACACAGGCTGCAAGGGTTACTGGTTACAGCTAAAGTCATTGGTCAGCTGCAGCATCTACCCAGAAATCTGCATCCGTCAGCTCCAGCTTCTAAAATGTCTCATTTAAACTATCTGAACAGAGCCCACTACCAAACAGGTAGCATTAACCTGACCATTAACAGGCAGAGGGAAGATCCTCAGTCACCACTACTTGTTTTCGCCCCCCACTGGCTCCCTCCAAGTTTCCTGCCCAGGCAGTCTCTGTTTTTTTATTTTCCAAACCATATTTTGTACAGAATGCTTATCAGTGCACAGCAAGAGTAAATATAAAATACTGGTCATTTAATACCTACAGCAGAGCTATTAGACGTCCCATAAGGTTGCTTGCTCATTACACTTGGGGTTATTTCAGGTATTTTTAAAAAGATCCCAGTAAAGGCTACCCATGTTTAAGCTTTTAGCAGTTCAAGAAGTTTTAAAACAGTTACTATCTTTTCTTTGGAAGTCCAGTTTTCCAGCCTCTGCACTGACTGCACTCTTAGTAACTGAGGAAATTCCTTTGCAGAAGTATGTAGAGGGAAGAGTCTCCAGAGCAGTTTTGTAGTAAAAGACCATTTTCAGCTCATTATAAAGCACCCCAAGCACACAAACTCAACTCCCCTTTGCTTGAAGAAGCACACAGTTCTCAGAGAATAATCAGTTTTACTATGATTTACAATAAAAACCATTTACAGCATCTCCATGAAAAATAATGCCATTTTGAGGCTGGCACAGATGTTTTCCATTATCAACAAGGAAGCCAATGTAAAAAATTTTTCTTTTTGCCTTAAAAGGCTTTGTAATTTAACCATTTTTTAAAAAGTCTCTTTAAAAAGCGTACTTTACACAACACTAACAAATCAGTACGCAGGCAAACTTATTTAAACCGGACCAGCAGTGCTTGAATTAACCTTTAAAAAAAAAATAAACAATCACACGAAGAGAGAAGGTGAAGGTGAGGTACCTACACAGAGGGTCCTTTGGCTATTACCGTTCAACAAGCCTAAACTCTGCTAGCAGTGGCAGGTGGTCAGAGGAGTTGTTTTCATTGGGAAGACCATTAACAGTCCAAAGATCTTTCTCTGTTAGAAGTGCCAGCCTGCCAAGAAGTTTCAGACCTCCATGAAAAGAATCCTCTGCTCCTGGTTAGAAAAAAAAGAGTCAAGACTCCCATCAGCATGAGCTAAAACCCACATGTTTATACATACACAGAAAGAAGAAAACAGTATGGCAGAAATAAATCGGATGTCATTATTAATCCATACAAAAATCACTGATAAGGTGGCTCAGAACTTCTTGTTTACTATGACGCTCTCACAGTAGGACTTAAAATGAGTAGGGCTCGAAGCCCTCGGAAAGACACCACCCCTCTAGTTTGCAGAAGGATAAACTGAGGTAGAAAGGGGATGGGATTTGTTTGTTCATTGTAACTCCCCTGAATTAGCCTCACCCAATCCCCTCCTAGACTCCAGCACAAACAACATGGCTAAACAGAGCCAACACCTGCAAAATGAAGGGTCTTCTGAGTTACGGGTTCACGTAACCTTTTGTTTCTGTGTCCTCAAGCAGCAGACAAGTCATAGAGGAACTCTCACTCGTAAGGATGAAAAAGCCCTTTGGCATTTCCTTTCCTTACTGCATCATAAGAAACGCGTCTTCCTCCATTATTTCCCGCTACCTATTTCCATAACCACCTAAAGAAAATGCAAGGCCCCAGAACCAAACCGCACACCCAAGAATCTCCTACCACGCACACAAACGCACTCTCGTGGCGGAGGGGAAGAGGACTCACAGCCTTGCTGTTACCACACTGTACTTGAAATAGTGGTGTCTTCATGAACAAACCACCCAGCCAACACAAAACTATCACCAGCAAAGAGTAACAAGCTGTTTTCCAACTCAAGGAAAGACATTCCAGGAGAACGGAGATCCTGCCACGACGTGTCAAGCTTTTAGACTTCCCGAGGGAGCCGACTATTCAGCAGCCTTAGCTACTGCTTTCCACGCGCAGAGGTGATCCTGAGCAGGCCGCGCGCTTTCGGGACCAGCACAAACGGCAGCTGTGGCTGGCACGCAAGTATGTCCGGGATGAAAGCGCTCGGGATTCCAGACCTTCCTGGCCAAGCCGGGTACTGCCTCACCAGCAGGTGTATTTTAAAAGATTATCCGGACACTGTTAAACTCCTCAGATGGTTCAACAGCATCGCTCCTTTGCCATCTGCCAGCTTTCCAGCCCTCTAACAACCCCACAGCTGTTTACTGCTGCTCAGAAGAGCTGCTTGGCTGCAAAGACGCCTCGGTAGCTGTAGGGTGCCCACCTGCCCAGCTCAAGTCACATTTATCATTGGGCACAGCCCCTGCCTGTCTACAGAGCTGCCTGTTGCAGAGGGCCTGGTGTGCATGCAGCAACTACCATCAGCTCTGAGCGCTCTGGAGCCAGCAAAACTGAGTCCTGCAGGACTCAGCAGGGAGAGAGCAAACCCTGCTTTCACAGGGGGATACCTGAAGAGTAAACCAAATGCTTGGCTAGGCGTGGCAGACTAAAACAGGTAAAGTTTCAAAACACACCCCTGTAACTGGAAAGAGAGGGGTCAGTCAGTCTATTTTGCATGTAATACTTCTTCAGGCTTTGACCACTTTTAATACCAAGGCCCAGGTCATCAGAAGACTGAAAATCCAGACTACTGGCGAGTTTCTAAGAAATAATAAACTAAAACTACACCAGTCTGAAGTACTTATTCAAGTAAGGGGAGACCTTATTGCAGCCTTCTAGTACCTGAAGGGGCCTACAAGGAAGCTGGGGGGGACTTTCTGCAAGGGCCTGTAGTGACAGGACAAGGCGTAACGGGTTTAAATTGAAAACAGGGAGGTTTAGATTAGATATCAGGAAGAAGTTCTTCCCAGAGAGAGTGGTGAGGCCCTGGCACAGGTTGCCCAGAGAAGCTGTGGATGCCCCATCCCTGGGAGTGTTCAAGGCCAGGCCGGATGAGGCTTTGAGCAACCTGGTCTAGTGGAAGGGGTCCCTGCCCATGGCAGGGGGGGTGGAACTAGATGGTCTGTAAGGTCCCTCCCAACCCAAACCAAACCATTCTATGATTCCATACTTGGGGGACTAAAGTTTGGACCCATTCCGTACTCTGACGTGGGGTGAAGAATCTATTTGAAAAACAAGCACAGAAAGAAAAAGGTTCTGTAGCTCTGCTGGGGCAACGATGGTGCTACAAAACATGTAAGTAGGTGAATTAGATCTTGCACAGGGATGCACTCTGAAATCACACAGCACTCTTAAATCACACTACATTCAGAAGTCACAAGAAGTCTCTAAATGTCCTAGTTTTTGAGCCAAAGCTTTGACTTCTGTATTGTGAAGCTTTTGTATCTGACATCCTACACTAAGATTGTCACATCACATTTACCGCGCATGTTGTGACAAAGGAAACAGTTGCGTATTGATTCGATGAATCCAGTCTCAAGGTATGAGATGAAGGCGGTATTTTCATTTCATGTACTGCAAATAACGTTAATTTGTAAAAATCA